CTGCACACATTTTCTCAGTGACACTTCTTTTTGCGTTTCTTCGTAGCTCCGGACAAATCGACTGCGCCCAGGTCGTACACTTTGCCCTGGTAACTTTTCGGCACATCAAATCGATCCCTTATTTGGCATCTCTGAAAAGACCCAAAATGCATTTTTCAATGAACATTTGTGAATGACACGTCCTTCAAAAATAGGCAACCGTTTAGTGGTGTTCAACAATTGGCCAACGCACTGACTGCCGGTGTGAAGATGCGTTTTTTACATGGTTTCCCGCAGTTTTTGTCGCTACCGACGCCGGTTTTTTTTTTCCAGCAAGTGCTTTTAGCTAAAAGAATTGAGACGCTGCCAGGGCTGTCAAGAAGCATCCATTTAAAATTTCAGCTCTCCAGCTTTCCTGGTTCCCGATTTCCCCGCAAATAACTTTCGCAAGCTCGTACATAGGAACCACGCATACCCGGCGGCTAGGTTAGAACTCATTAGAACCTACGTGAACGGAGAAAATGTCCTCAAAATTCCAGTCTTCTAGCTTCTCAGTCCGAATTAGAAACTTACCCGAAAAAAATTTTGGCGGGCTCGTACGTGGGTACCACGCATACCGGAGGACTGGTTTGAAGCTCACTAAGACTCACGTGGACGGGGAACCTCCTTCCAGAAACATAATAATGATTCTGGAATAAAAATGTTCCAGATAAGAAAGAAGAGCAGTCATGTTTCACTTACAACATCGTGTCTTCCATTTTCACAGTTGTGATAGATAAGTACATATGGTTCGATGTTTCGAATTTCACGAGTTTGCCCAAATACGCGAAATTTACCTCTGTCGTCCGAATAAGTCGTGTTCAATTTATCATCACGATCAACTGCAAGTGGTATTTAGCCGTATGATAAAACTATTTCTACAGCTCTACGTTTAATAACTATTAAAAATTTAACTTCGTTGATTCATGGCTTTTATTTATGGGAGCTCATTTTCCAAGTGTTCCATTAGTGCCTAATCGTATCCTATCACTGCTCTGTATCGCTATTTGTCGAACTTGCTAATTAAGTGAACACATGGATTTTTCGACAGATATGACGCTTTTTATGCGTTTGTGCTACGTAGCGCTACAGCACTGCTATACTAAGCAAGAATGAAAATACAAATGCGAGTGCGTTTTGTGGATTTCGTCATCCCCTTCCGACATCCTGTGCGTTTCTATATTTGCATTTTTCGATGGACAGCCGCTCACCGGAGCACGTCCAGGCTTCACGCAAAAAACTGGCAATCGTGCACGCTGTAGTTTCACGGCCCATAGTGCAATACTTTCGTCCTACCCGATGTCCATTCCCTTGCAAGCATGAAAAGACCAAACACAGCCAGTATTAATCCACGTATTAAACCAGAGCATAGGAGCTACTTTTGCTGTTAACAGTGTGCAAGTTTAGCGCGAAACACACGATTGCACCGTCTAGCCTTGTGCATTTTAGCCTGGGTTTTCCACTTCTGTCTGTACACTGATTAAGAGGACACTACTTTTTAATTTGCTTCGTGTACAGTAAAAATGCAGAGTGATGAAGCTAACATGTATCAGCTTCCCACATTTCGACTTTCACATCGGCATAGTAATTTCGCCCACAATTCAGTTGTCCAGTTACAGTTGCATTCTTTTTGCTTCCCAGTAATCCGAGGGCTGGTTGTGATACTACAGCTAGAAATAGAAATAGCAGCTGCAGTTGGGTCGACATTACTGACCTGTAAATTTAAAAGCATGACACTCAGGCTTAAATTAAGAACTCCCAGCCTTTTCTTTCAACCCAACGAAGTGTCACCAACTATGACAGAATATGTGTAAAAAAGCACGTGCAGCAGACTTGATTTTGAAAAATTAATTAAAGCAGGGGTTGGATAATGCCTGTAAACGCTTACATCAGCAGAAAATCCTTGTATTAATACCACAGGAAAAAAATTCGAGCTTGAATGATAACATTTATTTGTTAGGAGGGAATCGCAGAAAATTACAGCAGCTGTAGTGAGTGAGGGTGAAAATATTCAGGTATTCGTCTTAATGATTTGTAAAAGCTAAAAACTTTCAAAGAGCACGCGAAAGGACAAGGATTAAAGGGTTAGGGAAAGCTAAAACTGCACATCAACTAGCAGCAAACTGCGAAGCTCGGTGGACAGCGTTAAGCCTGCCAATGGTAAACATATAAGTTCTAAGATAAATGATGGTGCACATCTTGTTTCTGTCAATTTTCCGCACCTGTAAAATACTATTTCAAGTTTATTTCCTCTAGATTTCATAAAATTTCATTGGTCGATGCGCATGGCGCAGTTGTCAGTTGTCGTCGGACAACTAGTCCCTGTACGATTCGTTCATCCGTTTAGACCTGTCAACTGATACCGCCATATTACTGGGAGTCAAGTTCGGCCATCAGCTTGCTTGTAAACAACCTTTTAAAGATCGAGCCACCGCGAGCTTTGCTAGCAGATGGTTACTCCAAGCATTTACAACAACTCAGATTAATTTCTGAAAGCGGAAGAGGAATTAACTCTTGATTTTTCATTTGCGTTAATCAGGGAAAAAATATCTGCTACTGTTTACTGACAACAATGCTTACTTCTGTCAAAAATGATTTAAAACCCAGGCTGGAACGCACCGGGCGGGCCCGTGCGATCATGCGTTTTTGTACAGGACTTGAAGTACT